GTACTCCAGTTGAGGCCTAACTAGTGCAGAGTAGAGCGGCAGAATGACTTCATGAGTTTTGCTTACAACACACCTGTTGATACAACCTAGAATCATATTTGCTTTTTTTGCAACAGCGTCACACTGTTGACTCATATTCAACTTGTGGTCCACTATGACCCCTAGATCCCTTTCTGCCATGCTCCTTCCTAGACAGTCGCTTCCCATCTTGTATGTATGGAACTGATTGTTCCTTCCTAAGTGGAGCACTTTGCATTTCTCTTTATTAAACCTCATCCTGTTTACCTCTGACCATTTCTCTAACTTGCTAAGGTCATTTTGAATTATGTCCCTATCCTCCAACGATTCCACCAAGATACTCTACCCTGACTCCTCCTTCTATTCATCCGCCTGTCTCACAAAACACCTCCATACAAAGAAACCACGAGCAAACAAAAGAAGTAATTCCAAAAAGGAGAAGACCCAGACTCCACAAAGTTTTCCAAAGTCTTTCTGTTGCTAATTAAATCACATGTGGAAGATGTCAGATATTACAGAGATGGGTTACAATATAAAATCTTTAGATAGATGCAGTGTGACCAAAAGTTTTACAGTTGAACAGAGTATAAGTGTCTGGATTGCAAGAGAGGCCACTTCTGCATGCAACCAGTTATAATACAGAATTATCATCTTTAAGAAATGGTTCAAGGTATACATCAAGATAAATAAAATATAGCAGGCTCTATAAAAGACACACCTCAATATGAGATACAAAACACTGATGTATTTACCTGGTTTGGCTTGTGGCACGTCTGGACTTGGCGATATTTTTGGCTTGGAAGGAACACGTCGTACCTCTTTTGGAGCTGAAATAAAAAAGAGAGGTTACTCCCCTTGTGCAGTAACTAGTGTTCTTCGACATGGGCGTCTCTGTGGGCATGCCACTGTAGGTGCCTTGGCACTCCTGCACTTTTAATTAGAACTTTTTAGCAGCAGTATTCCCCCAGGTGCCAACATGCATGTGCGGCACCGCTCACGCTGTAGCAAACGTGCCAACGCACATGTGCAGTCAACCATCCCTCAGTTCCTTCTCTATCGCAGAGAAATGTCCCAACTCCAAAGCAGAAGGGAAGAGGGAGAGTCGTGGAGTGCCCACAGGGACACCCATCTTGAAGAACATCAGTTACTGCACAAGGTGAGTAACCTCTCTTTTCTTCTTCAAGGACTGTCCCTGTGGGCATTCCACTGTAGGTGACTACAGAGCAGTGCCCTGAGTATCTGGAAGGAGGGGCTTTGGACCTGACTGCTGAATGGCAGAGGACTGCTGTCCCAAACAAGCACATTGTGCAATGTAGCTATCTATTTCATAGTTTCGTAAAGTTATGTGTAGTTTCGTAAAGTTATGCCCTACAAATGTCCATAATGGGCATATTGTGGAGGAAGGCTGTGGAGGTAGATGCCCTGGTGGGCACAACTGAGTCAATAGTGACACCTTACGGATGTCATAACTAATTTTAATACCATTTGTTATCCACTTTGAAAGTTTTGAAATTGCCTGCCCTTTGGAGCTATCCGCTATAGAAATGAACCATCTGGAAGAACATCTACATTGTTTTATTCTGTCTATGTAAAAAGCAATCACTTGCGGTACATCCAAGTTGAGATAGGTGGCACTGGCATCAGGATGAGGCCTCTGGTGGAAAACAGGTAAGTATATAGGTTCGTTGAGGTGGAACTGTGAAACTGTCTTTGGTAGAAATTTCAGGTGTGGTCTTAGCACCACTTTGTCTTTGTGAAAAATTGTAAATGGCCGACTGGCCATGAGAGTGGCCAATTCGCTGATCCTTCAGGCTGTTGTAATGGTGAGCAGAAAGTCAACTTTCATGGAAAGATATGACAGTGTTTATGTTGCCATGGGCTGAAATCCCAAGATGGAACTATGGCTTTATTGAGGGGAAAACATTGTTGAGACCCTTCAAGAATTCTTTGGTGGTCGGATGAGAAAAAAATAGTGTGACTGTCTACATTACCATGCTCACTAGAAATAGATGCAAAGTGGACCTTTATCGATTCTGTTTCTTCAAGGAGAGAGAATATTTCAAGACTGTCAGCAGCTGTGTCATACGAGACTGAAGTGCTCTGGCTCATGTGGGTCCTCGCCACGGCCGGCCCGAGTCAAGGGGAGCACCCATGTCCCCAGGGCGGGTTCCCACGCAGAGGACCCAAACTTCCCTAGGTCACGAGCGGAGTGACCCTGCTCAGTTCGCTCTCGGAGGGGGGAGAACTGTAACGTAGTAGGGGTACTTGCTGGGCTGTGGTGACCCCTGCTGTCTGGAGCAAGACCCAGCAGGGAAAGCCTCACTAGGCCAAGGTAATGCCAAACTTGTTGAACCAGTGGCCAGACACCCCCCATGGAGAGGAACAAAGGAAGGTGGAATGCTGCCCTGGCTGGGGGGCAGGGCTGGAAGGGAATTGAGTTAGTTCTGTCTGGGAGCATGGAGGAGACAGCCTAGGGAGAGGAGCTGGAGTTTAGGGGCCCAGTCTCCCCACAACTCAAGGGGGCCTGAGGCATCCTAGCCCAGCTCTGTGACCAGATTACATCTGTGCTGTGCTGTATCCTGGAGAGGCAATAAACTTCCTCTATTCCACCGGCTAGTGCAGTCTGTTTGTGCCATTTCGGGGTGCAGGAGACGGGGGACCCCCAACGCACCGTCACAGATGGTGACCCAGGTCCTGAGAGGATATGCCTGGCCACTGTGGAAGAGGAATCGGAGGAGCAGCTGACAGGTGAAACAGGTAAGGGAACTAGGTCTGCCTGGGCCATGAGGTTGCTATCAGAATGACTCTAGTCCTCCTGTTTTATTTTTTGTATGACTTTGGTGAGAAGGGGAAGGGGCAGGAAGACATATAACAGATTGTGAGACCAGCTAATCATCATGGCATCTCCCATGGAACTCTTGCCTAGTCCCGCTCTGGAGCAATACCTGGAGCACTTTGTGGGAATAGAATAAATCTAATCCCACAAAGCCCCACTTCTGAAAGATGGTAGGAACAGCTTGGGGATGTATCTCCCACTTGTATTTCTGATGAAATATTCAGCTTAAGTAATCTGCGGTGGCAATTTGCTTGCCTGGGAGCTATATGGCTGATATAGCGACTTGATGGTGAATGCACCAGTGCCACAAGGACACAGCTTCTTTGCAGAGGTAATATGACCTGGCCCCACCTTGATAGTTTATGGAAAATGTGCAAGAGGTATTGTCTGTGAGAACTCTAACTGACTTGCCCTGAATTAGGGGAAGAAAGTACTCACATGCTCTCCTTACTACGTGGAGCTCTAGGACATTGATGTGTAAGGCTGATTCTGTACGTTTCCACCTTCCTTGGATGATGTAGACATTGGTGTGGGCAGCCCAGCTCTCTAGGGAAGCAACTATAGTTATGTGAATGGCGCCTTTTGGAAAGGGACTCTGCAGCAGAGATTGCTGAGCTGCAACCACCATCCTTGACTTTGTGGGACTCAAAAGTTTGTGTAAAAGCTGCTTGTGAGGTTGGAAGCACGTGTGAAGCCTCAGCTGCAGGCACTGCATGTGCAGTCTGGCATAAGGGATTATGTAGGTTATTGCATACATATGTCCAAGTAGCTGTAGGCACTGTCTGGCAGATACTGTTGGATTGTCCTTACGAGTGGAATCTTTGTGTTGGTACCCTCACCTGTGCTTGTATGCAACCCAATGTTGCGCCTATGAACTTTAGCTCCTGAGATTGGATAAGGTGCAACTTTTGAGTGTTTACCGGTGTGCCCAGAGGGCTGAATAGTCTGTGTGGTGCAGTCCATGGCCTTTTGTTCCATAAAAGCCAGTAACAAGCAATCGTCTAGGCAAGGGAAAATTACTATTCCTGCTTTCCTGAGATTGGCCACTGCCACATTGAGGATCTTGGAGAAAACTCTGAGTGCTGAAGACAGGCCAAAGGATAGGACTCAATATGGATAGTATTGATCGTTTAGTGTAAACCTGAGGAATTTTCTGTGCAAAGTGCAAACTACTATATGGAAATATGCATCCTGTAGGTTGAGGGACACCATCAAGTTTCCTTTTCCCAGGGATGGAGGTTGGGTTGGTGGAAAGATAAGGAAGGGAATTGTGAGGCTTTTTGCTATTATTTCCTAGGCCCATCTATCTGCTGTAATAATGGCCCATGCATGGTAGAACGGTTGAAGGCTGAACCGGTACAGATTGGCTGGTAGAAACAGTACCCTTGACCAGATGTTGAACACTTCTGCCAGCCATTTGAGGACTGAGACATGATGGGCTGTTCTTGAGGCTGCTTATGTTTCTGTTGCCTCTGCCGGCGTCTGAGGTCAGAGCTCCTCTGGGATGGTGTCCTGCCTTGTGACGTGTATAGGCGGTTCAACTTCTTTTTGGGTTGAGGGACATACATGCTCAATGTCTTTAATGTAATTCATGAGTCCTTGAGCAAAAATCTGTGGTGCAAAAAAACCTTCTGCTCCTCAAAGGGGAAGTCCTCAACAGAGTTCTGTACCTCTCTAGGGAATCCTGAGAGGTGCAACCAGGAGGCCCCAGTACTGACAAAACTGCCAGTTCCTGATTTAGTGAGGGCTGGATTCATTGCAGTACCAAGTTGACCCAGGCCTTAGACAGGTTGGTACTGGGGAAACTTCAGTATGCAGTGCCAGAGCCATCTTCATCAGAGTCTGCACCAGCGGTTCCCATCAGCCCTTATCTGCGGTCTGCTGTGGTGGTCTGGGTACCGACTGTGGCGGTACCAACAGTGCAGGGCAGTCTTCTTTGGCTTTTGTGCTGAGACCACAGGGCGTGCATCTTTAGAGGGCACTGCCCCTGAGGGTTTATCCATACTGGATGGCCCTGGTGCCTGTGGATCCCCCGAAGCCTGTACTTTGGAAGAAGGCTTTTGCTAAGGGAATAGCCTCTTGGATGGATTGTCTGCCAAGGGTGAGGCATGTTTCCTCTTAGGCATTTTCTTGCCTGGAGGATCCCCTTAGTGCTGACGAGCCCTGGTCAAAAGCTGCTCTTGGCAAGGTAGAGAGGCTTGAGATGCCAGTTCTGAAGCCGGCCTCTCCCTCTTCTCCATAGTAAGGAGTTTCAGCTGCAACTCCCTTGCCTTCAGAGATCTAGAAGAGAGTTTTTTACAGTGGTGACAGCTCTTAGGAGAAGGATGCATTGGATGTGCCCATCCGAGATGGGAATGATCATTCTGCATGTCAGGCACCGCTTAAATCTCGGGGAGCCTGCCATCACTACTCTAAACCTAACTACACTACTAACAAGAGAAAAAAAACACATAAACATCACTAACACTTAAAAGGGGGGGAAGAACCATAACACTAAGAATACAACACTATCGAATTGCTAACTACTAACAACTAACACTATCTAAGAATTAAACACAGAGCGCTGCTGGGTTCCGACCAAGCCGGGAGTGGCTCAGAAGGAAGCGAGGGATGGTTGACAACACACACGCATTGGCACATTTGCTACGGTGCCGTGTGTGTGTGTCGGCATCCAGGGGGGAATACTGTTGCTAAAAAGTTCCCATTAAAAGCGTAGGAGTGCCAAGACACCTAGAGTGGAGTTCCCCCAGGGACACTCCTCGAAGAAGAACCTGAGTATTAAAATCACTGCCCAGAAACATGAACCTTACACCATGTACACCTGAACACAGATATAAGCTGTCTGTGGGGTCCACTGGAGAAGCAGAAATACTTATGTGAGTAATGGAGATGAATGAAAGTCAGGTGTGCAAAGGAATTTCAAAGAAATGTTGGGCAGTAGCTGTATCAAGATCAACTAAACAACAGGTGGGAATACTCATTAAGTTTGTGCCCAGGAAAAAAAAAGGGGGGGGGGAAATTAGAGAAATTGAAAAGACAAAGAAACATGGCTTTAGAAAGTTAGAGTACTTCTAGGTGCTCTAAAGAGCCAACAACTTAAATTAAACTATTTTCCTATAAAGAGAAATATGCAAAGATGGATATGAAAATGACAAAGATACCTAGACAAAGAAGACTGATGATAAGTGATGACAGATGGGCCCATAGAACAAGGCCCTACCATGCCTACATCTCTAATGGAAGGAAAACCAAATATGACTCCCCCCACAGTTAACATCATTACCTAATGGTGTCTTTGGCTGTTCAGTTCTAAAGGTAGTTGATTCCAGGGCTGATCAAAAACAAAAAAAAATAAAAATAAAAATAAAAAAAGAATAAATATATTTAAAGTAAACTTTATAGTTAAATAACAATTGTGCTTTCATTGGTCTGCCGACACTAATAAAGAACCATTATGCTCTAACACAGGATTTCTAAACCTTCATTGGACCTAGATCCCCTTCTGACAACAAAAAATTACGACACAACCCCGAGTAGGGGGACTGAAGCTGGAGCTCCATCCCCCCAGGCCGGGGCATTAAAGCTAAAGCCCAAACCCTGCTGCTCTGCTGATGGGTATAGTTTCCTGTAAAATGCGTGTCTGAGCAGCCGCACAGGAAGAAATTAAGACTGTCCACCTCATTAGTGGAGTCGCTCAGCATGCTTACACTAATTAGCTACCTCCTCCTGAGTCCTGACCCTGTAGATGGAGAGGGTAGAAAAAGGTAAACTGGTGGGCTTGATGGGGGGAATAGGAGTGAGGGAAGCCTGCGGGGGCAGGTCAGGAGGCTGAGGGAGAGTTGACTCAGAGTCCAACTTTCTCCAGCAGATCCAACTGCCATCATTGTGCCTGTAAAAGCAGCACTGACTCCTTCTTGGCCAGCCCCAGCAGCTGGGCTGCCTTCAGTGAGTGTGCCTGCAAAGAGAAGAAGCACACCTCCCCTATTTCCCCTGTGCTGCTTTTGAATAAAAGCCAATGGCAGCTCCCTGTCTCCTCTGCCCTCTTCCCTTCCCCAGCAGCCCTATGTGTTGTGCTGCCAGTGCTTCTGAATAAAAATGGGAGCAGATCCCTGTCCCCTCTCCGCCTTCCTTCCCCCCCCCCCCCAGGCACCTCCAGCTGCTTGTCTGCTGTTCAGATACAAGGCAGGAAGCAAACAGAGTACCAACAGAAATAGAAATTCAGATCCGAGAATGAGACTTTGATAGCTTGCTGCTAAAATGCTGAAGCTTGCTGTCTATCCATGTTATTCAGATATTGCTTAGGTGAGAAAATAAAAATTAATGAATAAAATATTCAGAAGCATTTCATTCCTCAATCTTTCCACAGAGCTGAATCACAGCAAATGGTGAATGGCAAAGCAAATTGTCTGAAAGATTAGAGAAATGTAAATGGAACTGAACTATGAAAAAAAAATCCTGTTTCTTGAGTAATAGGGAGCAATATGTATACAGCAAGTATTCAGAAGTGAGCCCATTAAATAGCATTTAGCCAGTAGTTGAAAACAACATAAAACATCTCAACAGTCCAACCCAATCTCTGCCAGCTTAGGCCCCAGTGCCTTCAATTCTACTTCCCTGACAAAGACAAGAGCAGACACCTTTTTAATAAGATAACAAATGGCTACTGAAAATTTTGCAGTATTAATTGTCTGTCTTGATTTAATATAAAATCAACATTTAGAGTCATGCAGCGTGTTAATTAGCACTTGTTTTAGTAGTCCTTCTTCTTCCATAACATGAGAGAGACAGAGAGACAGAGAGAATGGGGGGGGGGGATTTTTGTTAGTAACTGGTGGGTGCTATGGTGGCACACATCTGCACAAGCGCACATGACCTCAATATCGATGCACGTGACAAAACTCACTCTTCTCACGGATGGAAAAACTTAGAGGGAACACTCCTGACTCCCTCTGAGGTTTCAGTCTTAGGGAGTGGGACTTGGACTTGGCTTCAGCCCTGAGCCCCAGCAAGTTTAACACCAGCACTGGTGACTACATTAAAATGAGCTCCTGACTCCCTCTGAGGTCTTAACCCACAGTTTGAGAACTGCTACTCTAACAAATCTAAACAGCTAAGGTATGTCTAGACTACATTGTTTTTTTGAAAAAAAAGCCCTTTTTACGGGGAAAAAAACCCCCACAAAACAAAACAAAAAAACCCAACCTTCACCTGCGTCCACACTGCAATTGCGTTCTTTCTAAATTAAACCAAAAGAACGCAGGTTTTTTTCCAACATTAGTAAACCTCAAATTACGAGGAAGAACGCCTTTTCCAAAAGAGCTCTTTTGAAAAAAGGCATGTGTGGATGCAGAACAGGGACTTTTTCAAAAGAAGAGGCAATCTAAAAAGCACAAGTGTCCTGGTGGCCATTCTGTGAATAGAAATCAGGTCTTTGTTTCAAGAGAGTGTCCATACAGTCTGGACGCTTTCTTTCGAAAAAGCAGATCGCTTTTTCAATCCGGTTTTGAGGTGGGGATGCTCTCTTTTGAAGGAAGCTTACAGTGTAGACATACCCCTAAAGACAGAACTGAGTCCTTAAATGTGGGCTAAATTTTCCTAGACATCTTTTTTAGTGGTCTTTAAAAAAAGATGTCAGAAACTTATTACAATCAAACACTTGGAAATTGTAGCCTGTGGTGAGAAGCACTTTCCGGACAACTGTCTTTTGTATGACACTCATATATAAAATTGAAGTGGGAGAGCTCCTTGCTTGTGAGTACCATGTTATTAAACGGTGTGATTATTTGGGTATTTTGCAATGCAAACATCAAAGGCCACACTTGATATCTTTGCAGACAATCCGAGGAAAATCAGAAAATAATGCTGAAATGGATAGAGGTCAGTTAAGAAATAACTTTCAGTACCTTATTGACATTTGTAGGAATTAAGATAAATTAAGAAGTGAAAATTATTTTAAAAATAGATACACAGGACAATACAAACATCTCAATTTTGTGATGGTAGATAGCATTTTTCGGTATCAATATAGGAAGACAGATTGACATACGAATAACAGAAAAATGGCCACAAGGAAAAAATATACAGTACTAACTTATGTATCTAATTTATCAGGAGGGTTGTTTTAAACTTGAGTTTCCAGCCAGTCTTTTGCAAACAAGTGCAATGATTTTTAAAATAACTTGGTAGCAAGAGTCAGAGTTTTCATACCAAGAGACCATATCTAGTTGGTGACTATTGTTTTTGAGAGTGATAATGTATCACACAATCATCCATGTTTACCCAACAGTATGAACAGAATAGTGTCAACAGAAAATTACTAGTGGACCAAAACAGAGTGGTATTTTGGATACCACAGTATATTAACCACTTTACAGTATCCCAATTTAAATCAAATTAACTAGCTGTTTGTATAAGTACTGAAAAAGTGTCTTGGAATACTGGATGACAGTGTACTGATATTGTGAATCCAGTTAAACAAATATTAGTTATATGTCTGGTAATTTACTATTTTTT